GAAAATGATGCTCAGAGAGGTAAGGAGACTCCCCCAAGGTCACAAAGCTGTTTAATTTAGGAGTCATTACTTTAACCCAGATCTTATAACTCCTAGACTTGTGCTTTCCTGTGGAAAAGATACGTGGAGCAGACAGAACATTGCATTTCCACGAACCACATCTAATCTAGACAATAGACAACAGTAATCTATTGGCTCAGTATTAAGATACAACATTAGACATGGGAAAATAGACAGTAAGAGCATACTGTGAGATTTACAAAGTAAGTAAAGAAAATCTCTCAACACAAATTCGTATTTGCTCAAAAAGCTGATGAGCCCAGTATCCAAGAATATTTGTGTGAGCAAACACATTGCAATAAATGGTCTTAGGGACTGTTATGGCTTGAATTACATCACCCAAGAAGGCTAAGTTGAGGTGTTAACCCCCAGAACCTAGGAACGTGACCTTATTTGAAATTTGAGTCTTTGCAGATATTATCAAGTTAAGATGTGGTCATGCTGGATTAATATGGGCCCTAATCCAATGACTGCTGTCCTTAAAAGAAGAGGAACATTTGAACATGGACACACAGGATTGGAAGCTATGTGAAGATGGAGGCAGAGATTAGAGTGATGCATATCTACTAGCCAAGGAATGACAAGGACTGCTGGCCCCCACCAGAAGCTAGAAGAGGCAAAAAAGATCCTCTCCTAGAACCTTCAGAGAGAGCATGGCCCTGCTGATACCTTGATTTCAGAGTTCTAAGTCTCCAGAATTGCAAGATAATAAATTTCTGTTGAATTCCAGTTTGTGATATTTGTTACAGCAGCCCTAAGAAACTAATACAATCTGGGGAGGTGGTTGGGCTGGGTTGGGCTGGAGTGAGGAGATCAAATCATGCAAATGAATAAACACAGTGAGTTATATGGGTTGGTCCCATAATAAAGTTATACTACACAGTGTGGTCCTTCATGTACACTATTCACAAACTTTAAGGATGACCTGTATTGATCAGAGGTAGGGAGAGGGGGTGGGACAAAGATGAGCACTGGAAACAGACAAATCTGGATTTGAATCCTGTCTGCTATGTAGGTTGTAAAGTGTAGGGTAGATATCATACTTTTGGGATCTCAGTGTCCTCACTTAGAGAACACAGCTTTCCTCAACAGGTAAAAGTGAGAGTTGGGCTTACCTGTAGGAGCTCTGTCAGGGTTAGCTTCTGTGCCTCCTCTACTTTATTTAGTCTTTGAACTAAGTTGTAGGCAATTTGGAGGTTAGGGTTGGAAAAGGAAACTAACAGTTTAACACTTCCATGGGGAGACAGGAGCCTAGAGTCATTAAATGCTGGTGTGGGGAGGAGGGGACACCTCCAAGGCCATACAGATGAATCCTCTCATTTTAGAGATGAGCACAATGGTCATGTTTTGTATTTTTCACACTCACTACAGATTATGTGGGGCACCTGGGAGACCTCTAAGTAAATGTCTGTTGACAGGCAAAATGATTTGGGAAGACCTCATAAAAAAATGAGACTTAATCTTGTGGTGGAAACAAATGTCACCATTTGGCACTGTTTAACAGACTTCGCTCACCTCACTACTTGCTCAGATCAGATCTGGCTGTCCATTTCTGGCTCAGTATCTCTCAAAGAATGATTTGCCAGCCCACCTATCTGAAGAGACCTTTAGGGGATTTATGGACTGAGCTTAAGTAAAAGTTAGTCAAAAATAGGTGTTCAGGATTCACAAAGTATTTTCAGCTGTATAATTGATTCTATATCATAAGACCAAAAGAAGAGTCATTTTAAAAAATATTTAACTCAAAGTCAACTCTAACTTAGAAAAGATAGCAAATATATTTCTTGTTATAAAGATAAAACATGCAGGAAAACAAAATAAAGAGTAGCTGTAACTATGCTAATTTTTACCCAAAAGGAATACAATACCCTCTATCTCCACCCAAGCAATTGCCATTCTTACTTCCTCTGCTTTATTGATCTTCCTAGCACTTATTACATGCAACATATCATATTGACTTGTCTATTCAATCAGGGCCTGTCTCCACTCACTAGAATGTAAGTTCTACCAGGGCTCAGACCTGGTCTCTTTTACTCACTGATGTATCCTCAGGGCTGGAACAGTTCCTGTCTCATAATTGGCTCACAATACATATTTGTTGAATAAATGAGTGAATGAATAAACAAAGAAGTTTGGGCGGAGAGCAGTCACATGAAATGGATAAGGAAGCGAAATCTGTGGCTGCCTTTTGCCTACAAAATTTGCTCCTACATCCACTAGCCAATAAAAAAATCTGTCACTTCTCTGCTCTGATTCTATCTTCACCAAGTAACCTTCCATTTAAATCTTCCTATGTGCATTTTCCTACACATAGAAGTACAAGGACAGCAATTTTGGTTCACTTGGTCTGTAAATTAATAGGTGTCATTTCATTTTTAAAAATTGATTCACATCTCAAAGAACTATGAGAAAAAGAATCTCAATCAGGATGAAACCTGTGGTAAAAAGAGCAAACACTGGCACGCAGGGAACTTGAGTTCTAGATCTAACTCTCCTTTTAACTCTCCTGTGTGGCCTAAAAAAAATCACTTCTCTGGGCTTTATAGTTTCCCCCTGGGGTACTGAACTTGATAACTTCTGAGTCTCTTTCGTCTTTCAAAGTTAGGATTCTATAGAAATTACTAAAATAGGCTCTTCCATGTATTTTGACTTTCTAACAGAGGTGTTAACTCGTGGCCTGCGTCACTGTCTATTAGTAAAATAGTGTGGTCCACTTGGGCCATAGGTCAACACTTTTCCCGGGGTCAGTTATTATTGCCAGGAAAAGACAGATGGTGTCCTCATTAAAAATCTAAAATGCTAGTGGAGGCACTCCCCAGAGAAAAGAGAGATTACGCATCTCCCTTTTCACATTTAATATTGTACAGGTGCGTGGGGGTGGGGAGGCGGAAGGAGGTACAAGAGGGAAGGAAAAGCAAGACAGGGTAGAAGATGTCTAGGTAATGGGAAGGCAGGTGCAGAGACCATGGGTGTGGAGAGTCACTTGTTTTCCCATTAGGGCCTGGCAGACATTTAAACTCAACAAACGAGAATGTGTCCATGAATTTTTAGTAGATACATGAAACTTTTCTATTACGAGCCATGTCACTGTGGAGGAGGGCAGGAGCTGAGTGTCCCATAAATTTATCTTCCTTACAGATTTTAGTTATCCATTTGCCAAGGCTGCCCCAAGCCTACTCTTTTTGTAACTCTTCTAATATTCATTATGTGGCCTTTCTAGAGATCTCAATTGACTATTTGTAATACAGTTATTGGGCTAGCTCTCATATTTATACCTTCAGATTAGACTTCTCACCTGAATGCTAGTCTAATGTGACTGCCTATCTACAAATAAGTACCTCTTAGATATCATTACTTTCAATGTAACATATTGAAAACAAACTTAGCATGAGTCTCCCTTCCTAACTCACACAGTTTCTATCACTGACATCACTAATCCCATTCCAAGGCTTAAATTTGAAGTTATTTTTTTACTCCTCACAACCCTTCATCAATTGTCATCCACACCTTCCATAAATAGTAACAAACTCGCCAATCTACCCACTCCTCAATAAATGATGACTATTCTGTTATTTGTATTATGACCTAAAATGAGCTGATCAATCACCCAAAACTGTTGAGTCTCTTACATTCAACTCCTTTCTTTCATCTCCACTTTCATCCCTGTTTTCATCCCTCTTGCCTAAACTTCCAGAACATATTTCTTACTGGCCTTCCAGTCTCTAATTTTTCCCTCCTTTGATCCATCTTAAATCCACAGATTGATCTTTTTGAAATCGCTTTCATCAAGTCATAGTTTGCCTACACACCTAAACAAGGAGAGATCTTGTTTGCCAATCGATGTTCGAAAATTCCTCATTTAGCATTTAAGAGCTTTGGTCAACTGCCCCCTCCTCCCCAAGCTACCCACGATGTATGTTCATCTTATTCGACTCATATTTGTTTGAAGACCAACTATGTACCAGCCACTCTCTCTATGACCCACTAGCTTCCAGCATTCCCCTTCCTCCTTATATGATGCTCTCCTGCAGCCACCACAGTGATTACTGCCTTTGGGACTCTGCTTGTATTCTTGCCCTGCCAGGAATCTCTTCCTTTCTGCAAAACCAGATCTGCTATCTCTTCCAAGATGTACCTTCTCCTGAAGGTTGCCCATGTGAATGAATCCCAGACCACAACCACCTTTTCCTTTTCCTGAATTCCCTCTGCATCCTCACACTGGTTACCTATTGCTAAGTACATTTCTCTTATTATTTCCCATGCATTCATTGGTCTCCCAGATTGAAATGTGAGCTCCAGAAGGGCAAGAGCCAAATTTTATTTTCTTCTTTTACCCAGATCTGGAATGAACAAGGATCTTGATTTTGCACGAAGCTCATGGACAAGGCCCACTTGTTGCAGTGTAGGCAACAAAGGCAAAATGCACACCAGAGACCTAAGACTAGCTCTTCATACAAGGCTAGAGACTCAGCCATGTTTCGAGAAGTGTGTTAAATGCTGAATTAAATTTTTAAAATTCGAGTTCCTTACATACTACGTATTCCTGTATCACAAAAATGTCTACTGAAACACAATGGCTGGTAAAACCTACTGGGTCTCAATCACTAATCGGATTTGAAATACTTGATTCTTCTTGGCCAGAATGCTAGGTTCAGTAGGGACAAGAAGGCGCCATTTCAGCTGTCCCTATCAGAAGTTGCCCCTACACCTGGCAACTACCTACAAGTTAGCACCAGTTCATGCCCTTGAAGCAAAACTCCAGTACAAGCCAGACATTTGCAGGGAAACCTGTAAGCCCAGCTCCCCTCCTCCTCTTGGTCCAGTTGCAACGTCTTGTCCAAACCTAGACCACAGCCAGGTGAAGTGCAGTCCCTTGCAGAAAGCATCGAAGATGCCCCTTTGCCCAGTTCTTAGGAGTGCAGAAAGGGAAATGGACTTACCCTCACATAATAGTTCATGCCCATCCCCAACAGGTGCTGCAGAAAGTTCCTGTCCTGCCTGTTCCCTGGGGTTGGCTCCCCAGGGCCAGGAAGAGGGCAGACATCGGGAGTTAAGGCGGTCGGCCTGTGCCCAACCACGTCCTGCTGCGACGGAGGCGCAGATCCGGCCCTATTTTGACTGGGTTCTGGGGAAGCCCGGTTACTGGGAGCCAGATCCTGGCTTTCCTGGAGCTTCAGCCGAGGCACCTCTTTGGTACCCAAGCAAAAGTTTTTCAGACTCAGCAAGGTGGCTGGGTTGGCTAGCTTCACGCTGGCCATGCGCGGGATCAAGGTGCACAGTGGGGTAGGGCTCTCCTGGGACGCCAAGGTGGCATCTTCAGCCGGCAAGTGAGGAGCCAGGGCGGGGTAGGGAGGCTGCGGCGAGCTCTTGTTCCCGACGGAGCCTCCAGGGCTGCCTTCGTCCAAGGACGTGATGGACTCATTCCGAAAGCGGCTGTACTTGGCCCTGTGCAGCATCCCGGGGTGCCCGAAGAGTCCTACATACAGCACGAGTCCTGCCAAGCTGTCCTGACTGCGTTCTCGCATAGCCTTGGCAGTGCTGAAACAGGATATTGTTGCATAAATCGCCTCGTCGTCTGCTGGATAAACGGTACGGAAAACAAATGCCTCAACCCCCCCATGCAACTCGCGGCGGCCACCTCTCCAGCTCTGCTCCAGGGCCCTTTGGGGTGTCAGCCCAGGGGAAAAACGCCTCCCCAGCTGATTTCAGTCCCTCCCTGGCCCAAGCGGAGGCACCCGATGTTCTCGCCTTGGATTCCTTGCTGGGAAATCTTGGGTCCAGGCTCGCGGCGGCGGGGATCTCTCATGGCCAACTCTTACGCACAGAACCGGGCCGAGCACCCGCCAGCCGGTCCCGCCGCATCGCCAGCGGTACAGGAGCCTTACAGAATATTTAGCGCCCCCACCCCACCCCCAGCCTCCCCTCTGCACACAGGAACTTTCAAACCTGCTCCCTCCGGTTCCCACAGGGCGGGGCAATGACTGAACTATTAACCCTTTATTTGTTCCAGTGATTATTCATTTAAAAAATGAAAAAAAAGGAAAGGTATATATGAGCCGAAGGCCCTTCTGCCCGAGTTCGTTGATTCTGATAGCTGAGCTCTCTTGGACGATCTTGTCTTGCATCCCGTCTGGGCCACAAGCGAGGAATACTAGTGACCGGAGCTGCTCAGCATTATTTCACAGACTTGAGATCCCTCGGTGTTCCTCGGGTCCCCTAGCAGCCTGCCCACCCCGCGCTCTGAGCTTCCCAATCTCCCGCACTGTCTTGAGCTTTTTTCAGGAGCGCATTGGCAGCAGAAGGCTGAGATGTGCAGGATGATACCAGTGTTGAAATTTTTATGAATGAACTTTGCTGAATGAATTTCTCTCTATGTGTGCAAGCTAATAAATCTGTGAATGAAGCTGAGAATAGCTGTAATTGACTGATGGTCTCAGGGGTGCTCGATTTTTTATCCAATCGTGAGGCAGATTGGTGACTCATGCACCATAAATATACTAAGCTAGTAGCCAGGAGAAATAAAGCTAGCGGGAGAGGAGGGAGAGATTTTATTTTGTGATATCTGATGAAAGGGTTAAAAAGAAAGGCAATCTTCACTATAAATCATGGGTAAGCTGGGCAGCAACAGATTAAAGGTCTTTTTTTCTTTTTCGTTGAGAGCAACGCAAAAGCCAAGCAGAAGAGCTAAAATTTAGATCTATTGTTCCACCGATATTAGGACATGTGGTACATAACTCCTGTGGGAAGCCGGTGATGCGTTTTTCTTAGAAACATAGTTCTTTTTTATTGATTGCTGGTTTCAGCTCCCGTCTGTTGCCACTTCCTGTACCTATCAAATGTATTCTGAAGACATGATGACAACTGCAAGAGGCTTAGCACACAGGATGCCAGGAAGGAAGCCAGGCAAAGGAAATGCAGGTTTTTTTAGGAATGGAGAAGAGGAAACTGCTGAAACCCTGGGAGGATGTGGAAATGACATATCAGAAGAAACAAGAAAATCTCTGCTGAAGGTTACATTTCTTTGTGGACTAAGACTCAAGCATCTGAAATTGTTCATTCATTCGAAAATTAAAACTGTCAACCAACTGCAGGAATCAAGGATGCCGCCTTCATCGTCTTATTGCCCGCAAGGCTGCATTAAACTCATGCGTATTCATGACTTTGGTGGCCTAAGCTCCTTTGGGATCAAATGCAGGTTCTGAATTAAATGGTTGCTTGTGAGGAGCTGAAAAGGCATCCTCGCTGGCTTCCTGCTCCCCCACAGAAATAATGCACCTTTTCGCATCCTGTCTACCAAATCTGTTAGGATGTTTTTTCTGGGGAAGGCCTTTTTGCACCTTCATAAACCTTCGCTTCAATCCCTTCCCTGATCTTCTCTCCCGACCCCAGACCTCCTCCTGGTAAAACTGAGGGGAGTGGCTAAATCACTTGGAAGCCACATTCCTGGGGCTGAGGAGACAGGCTCTGGGTAAGACTGTGAAGTAACCATCCTCTTTTTCTTTCCTCTCCTTCTCTCTCCTCCCCTCCCAGGGACTAACTCCTTCCTTGCTATTTCAGACCATGCTATGCTGCCTAGAGAAACTTTAGCGGCTATCTAATAGAGATGTTATAAGCTTTCATAAAATAATCTTAATTCCTGCAAAACACCTGGCACCATGCTCTATATATACAGTGCCTGCCTCTTAAACATGTGCCAGGCAGTATAAAGAAAGGTCATTTGAACCAGGGTCACCCACCCGTGAAGTTGGTACTTTTACCCCTTCCAGTCTACGCCATTCTAGGCAATTAAAAGAAAAATTAACACAAATTAGGAGAAGCCAAGAAAGCCAACACTGTCCAAAGAAACAATTTTCTAACAATTGTGTGGGCCTGGAGAAGGTGGGGTAAAACAGGAGCCCACCTGGCTGAAGTAAATCCTTGCTGAGGTCTTCATGACTAGAGAATGGGGTGCCCAAAGAACTCAGGTACCCAGGTATACACCTCACCAGCCAGACTCCAGGGGCTCAGACCAGCCCATATTCCTCAGGAGGAGTAAATCCTAGGAGAATTGGGGGATGGGTGGGGGGTAACCACGTGGCACCAGGTAAGGTAAGAAAGCAGCCATGGGCTGCTCTCTGTCCCTGAGGACCTTGGAGAAATTGGCTCTCCAAGGCAGCTCTGCGTGGGGCTTTTATGAGAGTGAAAGAAACCAGATCTGCAGCTGAGAAGTGGGGGAACAGCCTCAGAGGCCCAGCCAGCACAACTGGGCAACTCTCAGCCCAAAGACAAGGGCTGAAAAGCTGACACGACAGCCCAAGAAAAGACTCACTAATTGAGCAGATTTCCATTCTAGGTAGATGGGTGGTTTCCTAGGACATCAGACTATCCTTTTCAAATAATAATGATGAAGGTAATATTAATAAGAGCTACTATTTATGGAACAAAAGACAGTTTACCTGTGTTAAAAAAGCAAATTCAACTGAGTAAATGTTAAGATCTAATTGGCTTTGTTAGGTGACTCATGAATTAGGCAGTATCCCATCTAGCAACTAGAAGCATGCTCCAAGGGGTTGTATGAAATGGAAGGTCTTTATAAAAAGCAGGGTGGGACAAAGAAGGTATTAGCCAGAAAGAAAAGAATGAATTATTTTTGGGCTGGGACACTTTTCTTTGGGGAAAGGAAACCTGAAAGGGTTTTTATCATGCTGATTGCCTCTTATTTCTGTGGGGGATGGAGAGAGCTTAAGTGACAGATTACATTACTGGTGCTTAACCAGAAAATTCCATGCTGATTAAGATTATGTTTCTGGGGGAAGTTGAAACTGCAGTTAGATCAAATATTAAATCTAGGTTTGGTTTCATGAGCTTTTAGCACTAGTGATGCCATTTGGGGCCTGTGGTTTTTGGGGTTTTTTTGTTTTTTCTTTAATACCTGCATTCTCATTCAATCATTACAACAACTTTTGGAAGCTGGGACGATTTTCACCAGCACCTTACACATGTGAAAAAGAGGCTCAGAGCAAGTTCGGTGACTTGGCCAAGGTCCCCCAATAGTTGAACTAGTGATGCTGAGATCCCTCTAGCAGCTCTGCCTGGCTGCAAAGCCTGTGCTGTAGCCACTGTATTCTGCTACCTCCCAGAGCACCAGAGAGCTCAGGTCTAGATCCCAAGCCTACCATTTACATGGTGCAGAAGAGATGGTTGAGGTTCTGAGTTTACAGTAAGCCACCCTGGTTTACCGGCTTGTCTAAGCCCCACAGCCCATTAGTGGTGGGTCTAATGTAGAACAGAGCACTGACTCACTCCAACCACATGACCTTGCCTGTTGTGATACCAGCCAGCATGTTCAGGAACCTAACTCACACTCGGCACTCACTAAATGTTAGGTCTTGCTCCCTTCTCCAAATCCTTGGAGATCATATCTATAACATTTATCCTAAATACCTCACAGGATTGCCAGGAGTAAAAACATGAATAATAGATAAGAAAAGCCATTATTGTCATTAAACCATCAGAATACCATTAACAGCTCTCATCATTGCCCTTGGAAAGCAGGGTTCTGCTTAGACCACTGCGGTATACCTCTTTTGCTTTGAAACATCCCCCATCCCAAGGCACCTGCTGTGAATCAACACACCATCTTCTTAATGGACAACCTGCCCTGGAACAGGCTGTTTCAAGGAGGAGCTGGGTCAGGCTGGGCCATAATAGAATTAGCCAGGTCCTATTAAGATTTCTTAGAGAAGTGAGGGAAAGCGAACTTATGCAAAAATGCCTGCACAGGTTTGGAAGATAACCCAGTGGGGGATCTGAGGTGAAAAAAAGGTATGCAGAGAGTATAAGGAGGCGGAGACAGAGCAAAACAGAAATAATTCTGTGGGAATGTAGGCCATTTTGGAACAGTGAAGCAGGTGGCATCAGAGTGCTATAACACAAGAACTCTTACTCCAGATACCAAATACTTTTCTATCACAAAGCAGACCTACACCTACACCTACACACACACACACACGCACACACACACACACACACGCACACACAAAGCTTTAAAATGACTCATGTAAAAATAAGTGTTGTCAGAATAGAAGCACACACACACACACACACACACATACACACAAAGCTTTAAAATGACTCATGTAAAAACAAGTGTTGTCAGAATAGAAGTTTGCCTCTGGATAGCCAATGGGACTGATAGAGTCTCTCTCGGTCTTTGAAAGGCAGCCAGACACTTCCACGGCCAGCAGCAGGCAGTGACAGGAAGTGTATCCAGGCCACTGCAGATGGCAGTCTAACTGGTTAGTTGGGCTCAGGAAGATCTTAGGAGAAGGAGTGAATGGTCTTTGGACTGGGGTCAGAGCATAGTCATCAAGAGGTGTCTGACTCGGGAGCAGGATTCCAATTCTAATTGCGGACTAGAAAGAGAAAAAGGCAAATACAGGGCCCTGGACAGACTGAAACTCTAGCACTATGAGTTGGCTAATCCAAACTTCATTTCCAATCTTCTTTTCCTTTGCCATCCTCTACCAGTAAGCTAATCACTTACTTTTTCAGGCTTCCTTGCAACTGCAGGTGGTGGGGGCATGTGACATAGTTCTTGTCTATGATAGTCTGGTAAAGAAAGTCTGACGGGGGCTTCTGGGAAAACATTTGCTTTCCTGATAAAAGAGGCAGACAAAAATGGAGCCTACTCACCTTTCCCTATGTCTTCCTGTCTTGAATGTGGATGTGATATCTGGAGCTATTGCAGCCATATTTTAACCATGAAGGAAAAGCCAAGCAATGGTCTCAACATCATTGAATCACTGAAACAAGATCAGCAACCATCTCTAGATACATTATTATATGAGAAAAATAAAGCTTTACTTGTTTAAGCATCTCAAGCAGCTCTTAGTTAGCTGTTAGCTATTACTTACAGCCCAAAGCATTACAATCTGATA